TTAAACTTTTAATAACATGTTTGCCACTACATTAAAAGATTCGCTTCTTTATTGCTTTCTAAGAAACCAAAATTATTAAAACGTTTAAAAGTATTCACAACGTTGTTTGCAAAAATAAGTTTTGTCGTAAAATTATTATATTACTTCCAAAATAATTTTGGAATTAAAAATCTCATAATGGGAGTAAATTTAATATGATGTCTTTACTGGGGAGTAAAATAACACGGGAGTAATTATCTCATACTACACCGTCTCCTTTGTATTAAAATTCCTTTAATGAAGTCTACAATAACGAAAATATTGAGCAAATATGATGTACAATTAGAATATGCAATGAATACATATTATGCAAATTTATTTATGGACCAGGAAGTAATGATTTGGCAAATTATCAAAAAGTAATCATTTCCATTAATGGGAGTTACAAAAGTCATTATTTGTTTTTTGAGCAAAATGCTTTAATGAGATTTTAATAAAATTTTAATTCGAAAATGATTTGATAAAATTTAATCAGATTTTATAGTTGCTTTTATTTCACATATTTGTGCAATATAAAAAAATTTAAAAACTGTTTTTTAATTGGGATAAGGACTTGACTACTACCTCGATTTTTATGATAGCAGTATGCTAAATTTCCTCAAATGATAATAGGTAGAATTTTTATATAACTTTTTCAAAGATAAGTTATTCTTTTACTTTCTTCTATTTTTTCTTGACAAAAAAGTTGTAATGCAAAAAGTAGAAAGAATGAAAATAATAAACTTGTCAAATTCGACACCTTATTTTGCGACAAAAATTGAGTTGAGCAAGGAGCTTATTTGGTTTTAATGGTTCTTCTGTATTTCTGGCAGTTTTCTTTGCATCTTTTAATGAAATCCACGTTCTTACATTTAAATTTATATATTTATCACAAGGTCCAAAATTTTTTGTAGTATAATTTCTTTTCTAATTTTTTTCTTCTTGCCTTGCTAGAATCTCCACAACTTATTTAAGAGCTTCTTCTCTTTTAACGTATTTGTTTTTCATTATTATTTTTTTAGTTTTTGGATGTTCAAGTAATTATTTTCTTTCTCCCTCTGTTTTATAATTTAGTTATTTTAATATTTTGTTCTGCGTCCACATTATCAAAGCCTAAATAGTTTGAATATTTGTACTTGTACAAATTATTAAATTAGATATAACAAAGCCATATTTAGATCCTTTGTTAGAGACCAAAAAAATAGAAGTAGCTTCTGCAAGTTTTATTTTGTTATATTGATTTTAATATTCACTACTGGTAACTGACCAGCACAACGACGTTTTTTTTTTTTTTTTTTTTTTTTTTTCCAGAAAAATATGAACAAGGTAAATTTACATTGAATATATTACTGGTAGGACTTCCAGAAGATCACATGATTTTATCATGAAGCCCTTTGATCTTATCATGAAGCCCATAATTCATGAAGCCTGAAGCCATGAACATGAAGCCCTTTTAAAATAACAATGGCTGCATGGAAAAATAATTCTAAATAGTTGCTCACTTAAAGAATCAATTTCATTATTTTAAGTGCAATCATACAGTTTGCTGTAAACTGCATCATGATGAAGAAAATATTTTTAAATATTTTTCCATTAGTATAATAATAAGGTATATATGTAACACATACATAAATACCAGGTAATTAACTGATTTTTTATGTGCATTAGACTAGAATCAAGGTACTCGATGGCAAGACTGACAAAATTTAATTACAATTTTACATGGTTTCTGAGACCATTAGTAACAGTTTAAGAAAGAAATCATTTTGTTTTAGTGATGGATTTGACTTTAGAAGGTAAGTACTATCTAATTACACTAAATATTTTATTCAAAAGAAAAGCAATATGTAGTAGAATAAAGTTTAAAAAACTATATTAAAATTGTAAAACATTATTTTGGTTTTAAAATTTCCAAATTATAAAACTTTTTGTATCCGCATGTATCCAAGCTAATTTTTACAGTGCATAGCTTAAGTCCTTAGGTGTACAACAATGTATAATTTTTAACCATAACATTTCCCATTTTTTTGTAATTTAGTTTTTTTCAGATCATGTGCGCTCTTTTTCAAAAACGGAGTTATTTGAAGAATGATAGAAACAAAATCAAGTTGAAAAAACATGTCTATTGGATTTTATTTTACAACATTTTTTTACTAATGTAACTGATGTAACTAAAGATTTAGATATATGCAGTTAAAATGTTTGGCATCAAAATTTGTAACAAAATGGTCTGCAGCACATATCATGACCCAGTAAGCACAGATCGTTTTTTAAAACGTTTAAAAAACGTTAATATTCGTTTTTATAAGTTTTTTAAACGTTTTAAAAACGTCCTGTGCTTACTGGGGAGTGATCGTTTTTTTATCAAAATTTAAAGATGTTTTGAGGAAATATATATAGACACAGTACCTTTTTATCATCTGGAGTATTTCGAGGACGGCCAAAAAAAAACATTAAAGACTTGTCTTTTAAAATCAAAATACGGAAGATTGAAGACTTTATAAAATTGCAAAGTGCAACTGAGTAAACCACAGCTGCTGAAAGTAGCATGTTGTATGTAGGGGCACAGAAACCAAGCTACTTTATTGAGAAAAAGTTTAGAATCATAAGAAAAAATCAAATCAAAAGACTTTATTTGTGGTGGCAGGTAGTTGAGTTGTGACTAGGAATTAGCTTATTACATTGACTTTAAATATACATGTTATTCTTATAAACATTCGCCAAAATAGTTTTTAAAGGCAGAGCATATAGTATTTCCATCTTATTGTTGTCTATGCAAGGCAAAAAAGTCATGTTGGTAATTAGATGAACATATTTCTGTTACAGATCACGTGCCAAAAACTAACCAACAGACCATACTTAATTAAACTATTATATACTTTTATTACGCAATTCACATTAATTAGCAAATGGAAATATGATGGGAGCTCCAGTTACTGCAGTTATAAACATAGTTTGTAAACTCCTCAGTAATATCAGAACTCTAATACTACTGAGGAGTTTCAGACAATTTTCAAATTATCTGAAATTATACATTAGCTATAATTTAGAAATAAAAAAGTGGCAAGCTAGAAGAAGCGATGTAAATCAAATGTCCAACAACGTTCACAAAACATCAAACAAGAATTTAAAAAACATATGGACCTTATTGTACACAAACTAAAACCTGACTTTGGGAATACAAATAATGGGAACACAGCTCGCAGTTTTTTTTGAAACCAGAATTGAGTGGTGGATTTCTAATTTAGACGTCAATCTTATTAAAAATTTCACTATTTTATTAAGAATACTTTTCTCTGGCTACAATATTAATTATTGTGAACTTGAAGAAATTTGTACTAAAGCCAAAACTCTTTATCTTAATTTATTTCTGTGGTATGCCTTTTACTGTGCAAAAAATAGTTGTACAAAGCATGTAAGTTATAAAAACATGCCTTCTTCCATTTTGACAGTTATTCAAAGAGTCTCAAGAAGCCCGCAATAAAGATTTTATGGATTCTGCGAGTATCAATAAAATGCGTAAAAAAATTAATGTATTTTTTTTCTCATTTTACGTCATCAATATTACGTCATCAGCTGAGTTATAGTTAATATATTTTTTATTTTCTTTTTTATCAAAATTACATGATATTTGTGTTGAAATAAAGTATTTATTTTTATTACTCAATTAACTTTTTTTAAATTAAATTTTGAAAATTTTAAAAGCTATAAAAAAATATTTACATATAAAATCTTATAAGTAATTAAAAAAAAGCGTAACTATCAATCAAACATCAAATGTTATTAATTAAATTCTTAGAAATCAAATTGCAGAACAAAGTATTTTTGTTTACCAAGATTGTATAAATCTATACACTGTACACCGATTTAAATGAGATGATTAAATTTTGGGGATGCTCTTAACTTACTAAAATCTTTAAGTCATGTAAAATTAGCAAAATCTAAAACTTTAGGTTAAATGCCCTGGATGTATCGAATCAAACTTCTTTATTTATTAAGATCCCAGACAGTCAAATTTAGGTTGTCATTACAAAATTTATTCAAAAAAGAATATTTTGTATTATTGTGTGGTTTGTGTGGGGTCAAACATTTAACCTTTAGTATTTAGTTAAACCATGAATCTCTCTAATTTAGCCGGGTTTTGCATTTATTTATTATATAAAATTAATCTGTTAATGTTAAATTGCTTCAAAAGCAATGTCTAATAATAATATGATTTTATAGCGTTATATTTATATTTCAATTTTAATGTATTATAATACCGGACTTTCATTTCATTTCTAAACTTCCCAAATTTTTAATTTTTTTAGTTAACATTGCGCTAAGAAATACCTGCCGAATGAAAAAATTAAAATAAAATTAATATTTATTATATTAAGTTTACCAAAAGCCTGACATACTTTAATGGATATTTATCTTGTTGTGATAGCAACCTAAGTTCTTTCGTTTATCTTCTATTACAACTATTGTTTGGCCACGCGATTAGCATGCGAGTTTTTGTAAATTTGATACGATTTCCACATGTCTCATATTATTGAGGACAGTTATGCTTATAAAAGGCTTAATGTCGTTAGGCCTCGTGCTATAAGACATACTCTATCACTGTATCTATTTCTATACCTTTATTAATATCTATCTATTTATAATATATATATATAAATAAATATATATATATATATTATATATATATATATATATATATATATATATATATATATATATATATCTATATATATATATCTATATATATATATTTATATATATATATTTATATATATATATATATATATTTATATATATATATTTATATATATATATATATATATATATATATATATATATATATATATATATATATATATATATATATATATATATATATATATATATATATATATATATATATATATATATATATATATATATTTATTTATATATATGTATTACATATACTTATTTACTATTAATGTTTATTGTTTAGG